TTGATAACAGTCTTAAAGGTATGCATTATCTTTCATTGAAGATATAACTTACACATCTAACACCTTTACACCTATCAAATTTCGAGCAATGACTATTAACCAACGCCATTCCACTTTTTCCACCTTTCTCGAGGCACTCGAAACTTGGTACAATTTGTTTTCTAGGACTTAATTAAAAAAAGTAAGGTTAAAGTTTTTTTTTTGTTTCATGAATTTGCGCTTTAACCACCATTAGGACAGTCAAGCAAGGTCAATTTCTCACATTTTTTGATATCATATCAGTCGATTTTATTGTTGTTTTTATGCTTTGTAATCGAATTTTAGAAACCTTGAAATGGTATCAGTAATAACGTTGTTGGTGTTGTTCACTACCATTGGTGCTGTCTATAGCGATAGCGGTAAGTTGTGAATAATGTGATGTGGAAGACATAACAATTGGGACCGTGTTTTTGTCCCCAACATTTGCAGTCATTGTTTGAAACTATACTATAGCTTATTAGGATGTGTACCTGTCATTTTGTAAACTCGTTTCATATCGTCAAAACCCGATACTATAGCGTTTTAGGGTGTCGCAAATAACACTGTCCTTTCGCTCATCTATTTTTTTTGACTTTTCATCGTTATTGTTAATAAGCTTACATAGAACATCTCGGCTACTGAGAGTAGGCTTTGATAGATTGTGTTGGCAAAAGTAGCATAATATGCTACTAGCAGTGCTCCTATATTTCTAAAATTATGCCAACAACTGTGCTAGTTTTGTAAATTATGCTCATTTTTTAGCCAAAAATGCGGAAATCGTGCTTCAGCTTTTTACTAAATTGAGTAAAAACACCTCAACATCTATGTAAAACACAAGTAAATGGCAAACACACTTACCGTATGTTCATGTAGAAAGTTTAAGAGGGCATGATTCATTGTCTAACACCTTTAAAGACTCAATCAATTAACAACCAGCAAGCAGAAGCCATCTTGCGTAACCGCCGAGCAAGTTATGCGCATGCATTCGAGCCCCAGGCCTTCGTCAGAAGGAATCCGCCAAGCAAGCGAGCGACCAACAAGTCATCAAGTGACAAAGAAGCTGCAAAGCAGCCTTCCCGGGTATATATTTTTAAGAAAACGCGAAATGAAAGTTTAAAGTAAAATTTCGTCCCCGTATTGGTCCTCGTCTTTGAATAAAAAAAGGTCTTTAAAGGAGGGAGATCTCCGGAAAGTTAGTAAGTTAGCTACATGCAGTGAAACTTTGGATTCGCTCTAACGAAGGGCCTATGCTCGAAAAATCCAGCCTCTCAAATCCCCCACCCCCCCTCCCCCCCAGTCTACCTTCGGTTGTAAAATCAGGATAAACCCAGATTTTTGCGTTTTACACCACCATCAACGCACCACCACAGTTTCCTTGTTAACTAGCCCCTTTATTTATAGTTATCTTAAGTTTATTATGTTTAATTGTATCTTTTTCAGAGGGAAAATGGGGCTATGTAAACCTCGCAAGTGATGACGGTTAGTAAAACTGGAGCTACATAAACCTTTAGTTAGTTACTGTCATTCTGTATTAGAGCGAACTTTGATCTGGTACGCAAAATGCAATTTGTTAAAGAACCTCGAGATCTGGGAAATCCATGACAGTTTCTTGAGAATAGTAAATCCTGAAGAGGCGTTCAAAGAAGATACAGCCATAGAAGACAGCATAAGCTTTTGACCCAGACGAGAACAAGGCATTTTATAAGAGAGTTATTTCTCGTCCACCTTAATATGACTTTGAATGAATGGCTTCTCCTTCATTCTAATCTAACTTACCCTCTGAAGAGATTTCAGTGTAATGAACATATAGTGTAGAAATTAGTTTGGTAATTCATACTAAACGTATGATTAGTAGAAAAGTGTCGTGCGACTTTCACACAAATCATGAGAAAAGTCAGACTGACGCGCTCACAAGCGTTTTTAACCCAATGATAACTTCGTGAATTTGTTTTGGTGTCTCATTGGTTGATTGAATTAATTACTTTATGTTATGTTTGAAGGGGTTAGTTGTGAAACAAACTGTACGGAGCAGCGTCGGTTTGGGAGTCAAACAGGAACAAGTACTGAGTTTTATCAACTACAATTAGTTTTGTGAACGTTGATAAAGTCACTTTTATAATAATCACCTTTGGTGTTCCGTCGGATTGGGGATGAAACGAGAACAACAGTTTTATTAACAGAGTTTATAAAATTACTTTTTACTACCTTAAAAGTGCGCTAATAAAACCAAATTTATCGAATTTCAATAGTCTCATCAACACCTGATTTTTAAAGAGCAGCTGCAATTTACCTGGATTTTATCGTCGTCTTGTTGATAGAAGTGACTGCTATGGCATGTTTTGGGTCAGAGCGAATAACACAAGTTTCGCTCTAACGAACGTAGGTTTTTGTACATTACGCTTTTAATTTGTTTCCCCACTAAAATGCTCCATTTATTTATTTCCTTGTTCGTTATAGTGAAAGGTCCGGAAGAATGGCACGATCTAGAGCTGAAAAAACCTAATCACTGTGGTAAAAAAAGACAATCCCCAATAAACATCAAAATAAGCGAGGTTAAGGAAGAAGATAGCTACCGTCGTTTAAAGATCACTTTTTACAACAAAAGGGGACTTGTTACTGGAACGCTTGAAAACACTGGGCATTCACCTAAACTTAAAATTGCTGATTCCAATGGAGCTTCACTAACTGGAGGTCCCCTTGGGAATAACAAATTCGAATTGCTCGAGTTTCGTGTTCACTTTGGCTGTGTTAATAAACGCGGGTCTGAACACAAGCTCAATGGAAAACAACTATCTGGTGAGGTAAGTGATAACAACGACGTGAAACTTTTTTCTTTTACATTTGACCCAGTTCGGTATTTCAGTTTTCTCATATCCTGCATGACCCGTGATATCTTTGTTATGGGAAACGATTGCAATGGTCGAAATGATTACCCGGGACGGGAATGTATATACATTTCCAATATTCAGTGCTGAGCCATATTACTCGCAATTGCGGGCTCAGTGCTTTCTTGAGTTATCTTTCAGTGGGCAACAAAGTGGGAGTATGCAAAAGTTGAAAAAGGCTAACCAGAAGTTATTGTTGTACAGAAAACATCTTACTATTTAGACACTAAACGATCAAGTGCCTCTGCTAGGTCCCTACTTGAACCAACTCATCGGTAATGACCTTAAACTTCTCTTGTTTTCCCCAGCTTCACATGGTATTTGGTCATGATGAAAAACCACGAGCTGTTGTAGCCGTTTGGATTAAGGTAAAACCTGCAGTCTACCTTCCTTCCTGCAGTTCGTCCTCTATATAAACATTACAACTTAAATATGCAGAGCAACCTTCCCCTCTCCTTCCCCTCCTTCGTAAAGAAGTAAAATCCTATTCCTGCAAAACGTGGCTATAACCATCCAGAGACAAAAAAATTCCAATAATTCAGAGCAGTTTGCTATGAAAATACTAGTCTATTTACTCAAGAATATTTTTTATTTCCTTTAAATTAAATAAGGCCGAAATGTAAAGCCTACAGAGACTTTCAATAATTTTTAACCAGTTGTGTCACCTTCGGAAAAAAACAGGCATCTAAACCAGTCAAAAAAATTAAAATAATGAATTCTTGAGAAGTCTATTTGGATGCACCTCAATATATGTGTGACTTGAAGGGGAAATTAAAATCATAATAAGCCTTTTGGAAGATGGCGTCAGTTTTACTTCTACGACCATAATGCTTTTGCTTTTCTTGTTCATATATAAATTTGGTAATCCCAGCGAGGTTGCAATTACCAAAGCCCCAATTTGAAACAAAGCAAACCCATGGAGGTTGCTGGTCGTAGTAGTAGAGTGACGTCATCTTGACGTCATTCTAAATTGTTTAATTATTATAGGCACCTTCCAAGGGAAACAAAATTTTTGGAAAGTTGGCAAATCTGATGCACCACATTATCAAGCCTGGTAGGTGTTTTAGAGAAACTATAAGCGAAGAATACGGAAACAGTCAAACCCCACCACCATCTAGCAGCTACTATTTAATTGTGATACCATAGCACCGACCCTCTTCGTGCTAACAATATAATTTTCGTTAGATTTTAGAGCAGGTATGCTTCGCAATATCACAAAATCAGACCACAATCTACGACCAACAAAGCTTCTATTAAAAAATGAGACCAATAACTAAAAGCCTCCTCTGCTAGTCTGCTCCACAGCCGTTCTTTGTCCTCGTCACGCAACGCTCCTCTTGAGAAGGAACGTTGCAACTGCTCTACGTGGAGCATACCATTCCTCCGCAGGATACTTTGAAAGGCATAGTTTTAACATAGCTTAAAACACACACAGTCGTGCAACACTTGTGTCACTTGTGGCCATATATTCAAATTCAAAATTGTTCCCGAACTTCCTTTCATTAAAAACAAGATTGTTTTACTAGACGTAGTCAATGGCCTTAACAATTGATAAGACACGAGCCTCGAGTTACTTGCATGGCTTCAAAAGATATACCTTAGATTCGTAGGTTAAAAAATTACTTTAGGGTAACAAAAAATTGCCAGCAATTAGCTATTAACAATAATGTCTCTCAGATCCATCAGAAGATTGCATTAAACCTTCTGTTCAACTGCTAGTTACAGAGCCAATGATATGGGGACAAGTATTTTGCAACTTAAAATTTGGGTCTGAATCTGGTGTTCGAACCTCGGTTATTAGTTATTAATATTTCCAACCCTAGAACAATCCGTAAACATTTTGCATCTTGAGAACTCACCTCGGAAGCTTCCAGATAAAAACAACCATACTTTCCAAAATTCACGAACCTCTTTTGAATTTGTGGACAAAATCGTACTGTGTGACCTCTGAAATGTAGGGTACAATTCACCGTCATATTATTTTTACAGAGGATACCTATCCTGTGAAGAAGGAAGATGGAATTTATCTAAAGGATCTCATTCCCAAAAAATGCTCCATTGGTAAGGGCAAAGATAATGGTGGCAATGGTAATGGCAATGGTTGTGGCAATGGTAATGGCAATGGTTATGGCAACGGTTATGGCAATGGTAATGGCAATGGTAATGGCAATGGTTATGGCAATGGTAATGGCAATGGTTATGGCAATGGTTATGGCAATGGTTATGGCAATGGTAATGGTAATGGCAATGGTTATGGCAATGGTAATGGCAATGGTAATGGCAATGGTAATGGTAATGGCAATGGTTATGGCAATGGTAATGGCAATGGTAATGGCAATGGTAATGGTTATGGCAATGGTAATGGTAATGGCAATGGTTATGGCAATGGTAATGGCAATGGTTATGGCAATGGTAATGGTAATGGCAATGGTAATGGCAATGGTAATGGCAATGGTTATGGCAATGGTAATGGTAATGGCAATGGTTATGGCAATGGTAATGGCAATGGTTATGGCAAGGTAATGGCAATGGTTATGGCAAGGGTAATGGCAATGGTTATGGTAAGGGTAATGGCAATGGTTATGGCAATGGTAATGGTAATGGCAATGGTTATGGCAAGGGTAATGGCAATGGTTATGGCAAGGGTAATGGCAATGGTTATGGCAAGGGTAATGGCAATGGTTATGGCAATGGTAATGGCAATGGTTATGGCAATGGTAATGGCAATGGTAATGGCAATGGTTATGGCAATGGTAATGGCAAGGGTTATGGCAATGGTAATGGTAATGGCAATGGTTATGGCAATGGTTATGGCAATGGTAATGGCAATGGTGGTAAAGACAATGGTGTCAGTGGCAAAAATTATAAAAAGAAGAAAGGAGACGCCAATCGTTTGACTTTACAACGTTACTTCACTTACCGGGGTTCCCTCACTACGCCTCCTTGCACTCAAACAATACGGTGGATAGTTTTGAAAGATTATATCCTCGCTTCTACCAGTCAAGTATGTAATGCTAACTAACTTGAATTAAACCTAGCTTAAGTAAACTTCTACGCGTTACAGTTAGGAGTGTACACTCTGCAAGCACTAAGATAACACATCGGTGGCTCAGCCACTCACTGTCATAGTAGCATTGACCGGCTCTTTGACATTTTTTAAAGGAATAAATCAGACTTTCTTTGGAAATGGGGTGATGTTGGGAAGACAGACGCCCTTCCAGGGGGGGATCCATGTCGTCCGTCTGAATTTTAAAACTTCTCGTGTCGGTGTTTATAAATGCTTGTCGCTTATTGTCGGCTTTGCCGTCACTGTCGCAATTTGGCCGAGGGAGGTTATCTCTTGTCGCGATTTTATTTTACACACTGTCGCTACTTTTTGGGCCATTTCGCTTGTCAGAATTTACCCTGGCAGGGCCTCAAGACATTCTTCTCACTGGACAACTCGTTTTTGCCTTTGACAAATGCCACATATGACGAATATTTCAGTAGCAAAAGCGACAATAATATCTACCATTTCAATGTTTTTAACATTGTACTACAAACAAACAATTGGAATAACAGAAGATGTATAGTAGGTTAATATTTCTTAGACAAGCTTAACGGAGTCAACAGGCCTTTTGCACTGATTAGTTGACCACGTGTTCAACTTTCTGTAAACACGAAAACAGTTAACTTTTGAAAAATTCGGTTAGCAAGAAACTGAAAGAGCATATTAAAATTAGGTAACCTGTAAATTTTCAGCCGTATATCTCAAAATTAGCGATGGCATTGGCCGCCGAAAACTACAAGGATTTGTGTGGTAAAAACAACTCTTGCCACCTAGTCACGATTAAGTGGTTTTCCATACAAACCCTTGTAAATTGGAAATTATAGGGCTCAAATCTCCTTTTTATTCATATCAGGCAATTTGAGCCCTTAAATAAGTAAGAGAAAGATTTAACGACAGTATTTACAAGGATTTTGCAAAAGGCCTATTCTACAGGATTACGGGCAGGCTCCTTTGTTGCATATGCGAGAATGTCAGACCAACACATTCACTGTATTTAAATTGAACCACAAACTGTTAGTTTAAAAAACAAATGATGCGTCCTTAATAAACTAATTAATTAATTTTGTTTGTTTTTTGTGTTCTAGCTCGAAAAGTTCAGGAAACTTAAAGCAAAGTATTATGGTCCGCACATGTGCGACAACTTCAGACCAGTCCAAAAATTGAATGACCGCGATGTCTACTCCGTCATAAAAAAAAATAATGACAAGTGAATAATAAAGGCAATAAATTAAACAAACAAAGCTGGCAGTAATGGTAAACAAAACAGGCAAAGTGTATATCATGTTGAGATAGCAAGTAATTGTTCTATTTCAAGTTTTTTTTTATGAATTTTATGTTTTCGTTAACCTTTGTAAGGTTTTTTGTAAGGCAAAAAATTACTTTATTTTGCACTAATGTATCTTGTTTGTTCTCAATAAACTAGTGATGGGATAGATAGCGGAGTCACTGATTTATTTAAATCCTCTCCTCAAAGCAATGATACACAACTAGTTCCTTAAGGTGGATGGCAACATTTTTCAATTTTTGGAAGCACTTTGATGGATCGAGATAACCCAAATTCCAACTTTACTTCCACCTACGGCGTTTGATCGGGTAAATACGCTAATTTTCAGTAGCAAATACAGCAGCTGGAATTCTTCTTAACATCGTTTGGGGAACATGATAGTTGAATTTTGAAAATACAAGGGAATACCTCGAAATAGTTAGAAATTTGAGAATCTAGGATTGCCGTACATAATTATTGAAAATTTTGGAAAATCGTTTTAAGGCGAGAGATGGGAAGATTAGGAAATCGAATACTTCCAGAGTTCATGCAAAAACCTTTTGACTGTCTCTTTTTCGGTTAGATCTTCTGGAAGCACTGCTTCTATAGACAATTTCCATCCAGTGATCCCTTTCTGGAAAACACCTACTTGATTAGATGGCCTCGAGTATTCCGTATAATTACTTCATCAAGATAAACCGTCAAGTTCGACATGAAATCCCTTTCTGCTGAATCTCGTTTGAATTTTGTTGATTTGATTAAACGAATAAGTTGAACATCCATCCACTGATCTTCTGTGCCGACAAAAGGCCTTTCAGACTGCATTTGACTTCCCATATAAGTACATGCTGATACTGCGCATATCTCGGATATCCCTTCATTCTAATCTGTCTTAATTACCCTCTGAAGAGATTTTAGTATAATGAACGTATGATGTAGAAATTAGTTTGGTAATCACTACTAAACGTATGATTAGCTGAAAAGTGTCGTTCAACTTTCACACAAATCATGAGAAAAGTCAGGTTGACTCGCTCACAAGCGTTTTCAACCCCATGATAATAATAATTAAGAGCGAATGCACAGAAAAATCGAGCAAAATCGGCAAATCGTGGCCACAGCTCAAAACCTAGCCTACCCTCATTTTAAGTCTGTAATAAGGTTTTAATGAGTTTATAACACTGCTGAGGTTTAAATTTCAAAATGCGGCCGAGTTTGGGAATTATTTGAGATTTTTGATTTCAACAGTCTGCGGGCCTAAAATTAGCCGCCGAACACGGCAATATAGCCTAGCGACAGAAATGAGCTGACTTTCATGAACGAGCGAATATATTGGCAATCTTCCACTTAAATCTCAAAAAGCAGATATGTAACAATTTCTGAACGGCACAATTTTAGATTTAGAGTATAAAATATCGACGAAGCAGCAGAATTTTTAAACGTAATTTGCATAATGCTTATAAATACAACAATTTACCGCTAAAACCAAAATCGAATTTTCTATATGGGGGAATTCTTCAAATCACCCCAAATCCCGCTTACTACCCAATGAGATATAGTACTTCAACATTATCTGAAAGTTAGTCTGGTGTTCTTGCGAAAGCTTGTAAAATAGGTTGATTATTTTGAGGTTATTTTGCCCCAAACAACTGCTAATTGGCCCCAGGGTCAATTGACACGTGCACGTCACCTTAGTTTTATGCGTCGATTTGAGCTCGTTAAAAGGGAGAAACTAACACGATTCTTTTAATATGTACCTGTTTTAATAAAATACACGCAATCTTCAAAAGGAGAGGCCGTTCAATGGGTAATTTCTGTTCTTGAGATCTTGTAGATTGTACCATGGCGTCTGCGAGTGGACCTTAGTCTAGGTCTGTTTTCCCGTGACTGCGAAATCAGAATAACATCAAGAAATAATTCTCCCTCGAATCTTCGTAAGTGAATCAGCTTTGCAGTGCCTTACCTGAGATAAAAAGTGGGCCGAATAGCAAAACATTTCTAGCGCGATTTGGATCCTTTGTGGAACGCAGTGTAGTGCTGAGCGAAAGGTGAGTAAACAAACGTGGGAAAGTACGTTACCTTTGATTGCGTGACCAGCCAGTAAACGATAGTCTGCAGCGAAAAATAGGACTCGTAAAAATCTTGCTGATGTATATTTAACAGTTCCTTACTATAAATTTACACCTGGTTTGTCTAAACAATGCATATCTGTCCAAGAGTATAACAATGTTTCGAAAGATCCACCCCTAAATAACTGTGGGCTACTCCTTTTTCGCCATCACCGATTTGCACTTCCTTCCCACTGTCTTTTGCATGAGGCTTGTATGCCTTTTTAACTGTTATCGACACTTAAAACTGGCCGTTTAAGGCCTGGTTTAAGAACTTGACTGACTTAAAAAACCGTCGCGAACATGCGCTATTATTGTTGGACTTTGGAAGCTTTAAGCCCAAAATGATGGTGCAATCTCGAGAAATTTGCCCGGGTCTAATTATAAGACAGGGAACGGGTACTAAGAAAGGGACGGTCTCATTTAGCAACCCGTGGACAATCTGGGCATGCTTGCCTTCTGTCGCAGGGGCAACCGTTAAGCCCAGGTACGCCGCCCCCACCCGAGAGGATTGCATTGCATCCACCATTTCAGTCGCTTTTTCCACATCATGACCTTCAATTATCATGAATTATAATGCGGGCCTTGATCGTTGCCACCTTACCAGAAGTCTAATCTTCGCACTGTTAGACCATGAGAATCGCTATTATTATTCCATAAATGCACCATTGACTTTTCCTTGCTCAGCTTCCGGTAAACCGATACTCCGAAGCAAAAAAACCTTTACAACGACTCTATCGAGGCCAGAACTCCTGATATCAACAAATATACCCCCCACCCCCCACCTAAAGAGAGCAAACGTTCCCCGAGCTATTCACTTGACCAACCCCATCCCTTCGTTAAGAAAAACTATGCACTCGGTTCACTGGACAAAACGCGCTCGTGAATATACCAAACTATAGCCGTTCATCCTACAAGCAATCTCACTTTCAGCAGGCGTGGCCACGTTTCCAGTTGCTGTAAGATTAATTCGACACCTGCAACAGACACTGTAAATTAAATAGCGGCCACAACGCCCTTCTTTGAAACCGTCAGGACGAGAAAGTTTATAAAAGACTTAACACGTGTGCGCGGCGGTTTCCTTTTCTTCCTTCCCTCCCATTGTAGCACTCAAATTCTGACCCTGATATTAATTCTAGTAGTAATCAATCGTTCCTGAGCCGATAGGCACAAGGATACCAGTTTCTTGCAAAATATGCTGTGACATCCGTTTGTTCATCCCCCTTTCTGCCTTCGGCCGCTGATTAGGTTTGGTTCCGTGCTTTGAAATAACTTTAGGAACGAAACATGATACGTGAGGGGAGTGTTCGGCTAAGGGCAGGTGACTCTCGGTGGTGAAGACATATACTGAGCTTGTCAGTATTTCGTAGCCTGTAC